TTTTGCATACAATACTACATTTCCTTGAAATCACTACACTGTTTACAGTTAATTCTCACTGCAGCCTTTCAATGGACATTTTCAATGTGTGCAAGGACAAACTCAAATATCTAAGTAATTTTAGGGTCAACCAGTTATAACTATCCATTGTACATAATCAGGTAGTGGAAATTAAAGCAAATATATAGTACATGTATGCGCATGTATAAAAATTAACCTTTTTTAAGCGCTAAGCGCAGCGCAAAGCGCTTTAAGCGCAGCGCAAAGCGCTTTCCTGTTTCACTCATAAATTTACTCCTTCATGATCAAATTCCAGCGCCACTATAAGCAAGATAATTAACTCCACTGGTTATTCCAAAAATTCCAACTGGAAATTTTGTTTCTCTTTTCTGCTATTTTAGTGTAATGCTGCCAATTACGTGCATTTCAAATAATAGAAGGCTCTTAGTAAGGTTTAGAAAATTGGTAGATAAGAGCAGTTCTTATCATGGTCTTCTCTATACAATGTCCAGTAATTCATTTAAATCATGTCAGGCACACATTGATTTTAAATCTAAATATGCTATACTAGCTCACAGTTGCTTTTTTTTTATGGGATGTCGCAAATACTTTGAAGAAAAAAAACATTATGTTATTTATATAACATGCAATATAGTGATTGAACCCCATATTCAATTCTTTCACAGCAGTGTAACCTTTTAATTTTTCTGAACTCAGATTTTGGTCAACAGTTTTTAAATCAAAGGCCTGCAGGGTGAGTTATTCAGTAAAAGAAATCACATAAAATTTTTACAATGTACAATACCTTCATATATTCAGTTCTCTATATCCATATAAATATTATATTCTGATCAATTATTTCATAAATAAAGTGTATATTGCTTTTCCTATATAAATCTTGCACCATGCTGAGATTTTGACTGAAGTTGATTTTCAGCACATTAGCTGAAGTATCAATGTTATGGAATAATTAGCAATGATTCAAGCAAATTTTTTAATGTAGATTTTCACATAACTAGCTGCAGCTAATGAGGGAGCAGCAGTTTGTGGCTGTACAGACAATAATGTAGAGCATGTGGTGGAAGTTTTCAACGAATTCACATTTTTGAACATATTCAATACAGGTATTGTACATCTAAGGTATTGCGCGTGTAGTGTGCAGATATTTAAAAATCTAAAACCTTTTTGCATATATTTTTAGCTTAGCAATACATACATAGCTTAATTAAAATTCAAATCAAAAAATGGTGTAATACTTGAAGTGGCACTATAGAACATTTAATAGTTTTTGCACCTAAATTTGTGTCTTAATTAAAAATGTTTTTGACGTTCCTAATATTTTTATCCAATAAAATAAACAAAATAACTTTTTGTTTGTTTAAAAAAGATTTATTAAATTGTAGATTAATAAAAAGTTTAAAATTGCTTTCTTGAAATCAATTATTAATCATTGAAATAGCAGAAATAAAAAGTCAATTTTTTCTGGCATTCCAATTTAATAAGCACAAAATTATTTTAAATGTTTATTTTTCTGATTTTTGCATGGTCAAATTTATCAATATTTACACAAGAAAATCAAAAGTGGTGAAAAGCATCAAGCATTTTCACAAAAAAAAGTATTTTAGCAAAATTTTAAATTATTTCAACATTTTCAAAAATATTTGGGGGTATTTGTCACACTTTTTGATAAATTCATAAGAAAAAATTTGTAAAATTTTTATCGCAAAAACATTTCATAAAAAAATTTGTGTGCACATACTGGAAAAATCAACACAAAATTAACAAATACATGTTTGAAAATCAGAAAAAAATGATCATTTTCATCAAAAAATAAATATAATATCTTTATACTTAAATGTATATATATCTCTCTTTTTTTATTAATATAGTTAATTCTGCACGGATGTTTATTTCATTTAAAAATGATGCAGAATTTTGTCATATGACGTTGTTACAAACATGATGCCAAAATCTTCAATTTGAAAAAAATTTCTTTAAACGCATGAATAAATTTGTAATTAAATATGATCACCAGAAGATTTTATCTTTCAGTTTTATACATTTTCAAGTGTTCACATTTTTTTCAATACAATGTATACATGTTCCAGAAAAGTTTACCTACATGTACATTTAGAGTTTAAATTTCATCGGAAAACTCGCTACACGAGCCTTCCAATAAATTGCAATTTTGCAAATAATAATAATAATATTACATTTTTTTAAAGAAAAAATTTTACATGGAAAAATATTTTCTGATATATTTCGTGTACAAAACTGTAAGTGAAATTGATTGATCTTTTTGACATACGAAGAAAAAAATGTCATGCAAAAAAAAAAGGAATGGAAATTGTTGAATTTCATGTCCCATTTCGGGGATTCAAACTTTTGTAAGGCCACTCCCTTTTCCTTTTTTTGCATACAACTACATTTCCTTGAAATCGCTATCGCACTGTCAAAATATCGCTTAAAATGCAATACAACAGGACATTTTCAATTTAAATTAAAAAAATTGGGATGAATTTCAAATCAATATGCTTAGTGGAAATTAAAGCAAATATATGGTACATGTATGCGCATGTATAAAAATTAACCTATTTTAAACATACACACGTGCACACTATATGTATATTTACATTTACTTCCAGTACTCGTGGGTAAAGTACATCCCTGGATGCATCAGCTCGCAGCAATGCATAAATATTAAAGTGAATCATTCAATTTCACATTGTTTTAAGCTTGTAAATAAAATAAAATTAATTGATCAATGATCATTTTTTTCTCAAGAACATTAAATCCAGTCTTATTAATTCAGAAACATCCTCAGGATAGTAGTTTACATTTTTCTTGACTGCTTGTTGATCTCCTTCTGAAGAATTTTCACTCGTATGGAGACACCACCACTTGCCGGTGCATGGGGAGCTGCAATTCTGTCCTATACTCGGCACCATCACCATTAAGCAGTACGTGCATGAGGGATCTTTTCCGTGCCAGCAACCTCTGGGACAAGGGTCATCGATTAATGTACGTCCAAAAATGCCATTCGAACCCGCGACGTACAGCAAGGACAACTCTAACCACTGTGCCACGCAGGCTATGTTCCAGTCATGTCCCGTGAGGCAAGACAAAGCCTGGATGGAAAGATCAGATGTAGGATCGAACCACATTTATATTTGAAAAATTCAATACCGATTTCTTAGCCAAAATGTTTAGGTGAGCGATGTGACCCATGGACATCTTATTTTTGAAAATCAACCTTTTCAACCATTTAGATAATGTAGATCAGACCTCGCATCTGAAGCGGGTAGAGTGAATCCCTTTGATGCATCTTGCAGTCACACAAGGAGAAAGAATAGGCATGTACAACCTTCATGTACACTTATATACATGGGTATTTAACATTACTTCAAGCATGTCAATAAAATTTAAGGTCTTTATGCATGTAAATATACCAAGTCATTTCACATGCATTCAGCAAATGGCAGACTTAAAATTTAATGGCTGAAAGAACACATTCTGAGGGACAGTACAGACAAGATGTTTTAAAATAGATAAACCTTTAAATAAAAGCAATTTGAATGTTTACCATGTTTACTTTACAATTCTATTTCAGAAACTACATTAGAGGATACTTATAGCTGTATATCCACAAAGTTTTTTACCTTGGTCTTTATTAATAAATTTAAAAAATAAATTACTAGGATTAAAATGCAATAGGAAGAAGGCAGACAGTAGAAGATAATATCCTATGATCATATTGAATTGTATGTAATTTTTTTTTTTTACAAAAATCAACAAAAATTTTTGCTTTCAAGTACTAGTAATTAACGGCCTACTTTGCCTCAACCCCCACTCTTCCATTGTACATCAAAGTTATGGCAAAATAACGCAATTCCAAATTCATCATTTTAGTTTAAGAGACGTCTTCTGTCCTCAATCTTTAGTTAATAAATGAAGATTCGGAACAGAATGAGATACTACTTACTATATAGATAATTATAATGTGAAGTGACACGTTAATATTTTCCTAGGTAGCATGCAGTTCGCCTTTTTTATACATGGAAATTAAAGTAGCCGCTAGCACTACTCAAGGTGAAATACGAAACGTATTATATGGGGTCAAAGTGTAGGCTGCTTTACTAAATAAGTAATAATAAAAACATATCATCATCAAGTACTTCCTCAAGCTAAGATTGAGAAAAGAAAAGGACACCAAAATACATTCTTTGGCGACACCTCGAATACGGTTGAAGATATTTTAATAAAATAAAGGAGTTTCATACGAGATGCGATGGGGAGGGTGGTGGGCCGGGGTTAAGTGAAAATTTCTATTTGGGTTTCCCTGCATTCGTTATTCATTTCTGACATAATTTCCACTTTCGAAATCACCATCCTTTAAGTAGAATAAGTAAAAATAACCCGAACAAAACATTTCAACATATGTATTACAATCAAAATGGTAAACCTCTTAATTTTTCGTACACTGACAATGTATTTTATGACTTTAAAAAATTGCAATCGAAAACTACTAGTATGCCATAGGAGAAAATAGGCGAGATCAAAGAAATTTTGTGCTCAAATTTCAAGGGGCAACAATGAAAATCTGATGAGATTACATTTACAAACAAGTGAAAAACAGCTAAATATACGTACATGCAATGATTTTAAAAGAGAAACTTAACAAAACACAAGATATGTTCACAATACAAGGACGATAACTCTAACATTATGATTAAAATGTCATGGTCCTTGTAATTCATTTAATCAACAGACATTTAATGTCAAGATCGTAAATGATGATCCTTTAACGCCCATTTTCTCATCAGAATGCTATCGACTACGACAATGTTTTTTTTTTCACACACCCTCCCCCAAAAAGGTCATCAAACTTGTAAAATACTTTATCATAACATACCATATTTAATCTTTAATTTTCATTTAGCATGTTTTAGATCAACATCCCAATAAATTAATATTTTTATAGTTAATAACAGTAGTTAATCTTATATTCTGTAACACTAATGGACGAAAAAAAAATTAGGGAAGAGAAAGAAATTAATATGTATAATCCCCATTCTCATTTTGGGATCATAATTTTAGCACTTTTATTTAGTTTCCTAAAAGGCCTGTCCCTTTAAACCCGGCCTCTGGAACGCCAGACACGTTCATTAAGTCCTGTAAAACTCCTGGATCCTCCACTGGTTCGTCTGCCTGCAGCATGATAATGTCCCCCGGCGCTACACGGAGACTCCCGAGCGTCGCCTTATCGTCTTTTATCGGAACTCCCGCGATAGATAAATTCTGGTCAAACGGGGGCACAGAGAATAATTTCATCAGCTGCAGTTTTAAATCCCTTAATGTCTGATCAGACGATACTTTTAATTCTTTCTCTCCTCGGACTTTCCGGTGCCGCTGACTTTTTCTCACTGCGTTTCCGTCCATTTTCTGTAATTTTTCGGGTGGTTCGTCACATTCGGATTTTCGGCGATCGTTCGAGCAAAAATCGGGATCGGGATAATCTTGTTTACAGTTTTCAGTATTTGTATCTCCTCCTTGCTTGTCTTTAACAGCTTTTCGTATGAACACAGTAGCATCCTTATACACATACTTCGCCATTTCTATCATGTTTTTCCGCTCTTTCACGCACTCCTCGCAAACTTCTGGCAGCGTGATCACGTGATCGGAACCATCCTCTTCCTCATACTTAACAACAGACACCTCGTAATCAACCACGAAATGCTCCATAACTTTCTCAAATTCTGGGGGCCAGAGATACACCACCTCTGTGTTGTCGGATAGATCCGCGCCATTCTGAGGTGGCGGATACAAGTATTTTCGGTGTTCACAAAGCAAACGAGTGTTTTTCACTTCTGATACAGGTTCAAATTTGCTTGGGTCTTTCACAAAGTGCCTCCAGTCTTCCACAAACTGTGCATTGACCACGAAAATTTCCTCTCCCGTCACGAGCCTAACTGGCCTTTTTCTGTCGTTGAACAGATCTGCGAGATCTGCTTTCTGAACTTGAGCCAATTTTTTGTTCAAGTTTTGATTTTCAGTTTCTTCCTTATTCTTATCACAACATTTTTGACAAACTATGTGTGAACGGGGAAATTCCGGACAATCAGGAAAATATTCCTTCAGTCTTTTCCACAGATCTGCTGGTATCAATTTCCGACATGACGGGTCAGGATCTAACTGACCGTGAAATTCACAAAGTAAATCCTCATTGAATTGTAGTGAACTTTCCATGCTCTCATTTGTAGCAGATAAATCACCCTTTTCAATTGCATTATCACCATTATCTAATTCCGTAGATTTCCTTTTTTCATCAAAGTCCCCATTGTCTTCTGGGAGCTCCATACTCTTGTCAGCTGCTATTTCTGTTGTACCACTTGGCTGTTCCTGTTGGTCCACACCGTTGTCATTTCCTTGTTCTATAGACTCTCTATCTTCCCGAAAATCTTCCAGCTGCTCCAACACTAACCTCTTCCAGCTCCTCAAGGAAGACTTCCCTACCCAGAAGGCAGGTTCATCTGGAGATACTTCCATTTTCTTCATCGTACCGAATAATTTTTCATCCTCCACCATCTTCCTCTTGGTGCGGATAACCTTGCATCTACTCTGCACACAAATCAGACAGGTTGCTTTATCACCAGGCATGCGAGGCCCACCCTTGTACTTCTCATATAGACCATCCACTGCATCGTACTGGACACACTTCATCTTCCCAGCCTTATCTGGGTGAAGTTTACCATGCTGACACAAACTGGCCTCATTATCCACGGATCTGGCTTTACCTGGATCTTCCAGCCAGTGGGTGAGCCATGGAAGACTGATCCATTCATAGTTATGAGATTCCTGGTCTTCCTCCCCCACTACCAGTTGGCTGAACGTATGACGTATATCTTCCTGTTTCTTCTTCCCTGTCTCTATATTCTGCTCCCTCATCATTAATAGTTCGGCCACCCACATTTCAAATTTCTCATTGTCTTTTTTCACATAGTCTATCATATACTCAGGGAGGTAACTCTTGTCTGGGATTTGCATATCTATAGTCTTGTCTTTCTCTTCTGGTGGTACATCTCTGGTGTACACAACCATGTATGCATTTCTAGAGGAGTGATATCCCTTGGGGACTTTTCCCTTCTGCTTAGCAGACGTCTCTTGGAGATCTTCCTCAGTTCCAAGATGAAGATTTGATCCCTTCATTTTAGTGGTCTCTTCATCATTGAACTTGTACCACGCTCCTGAACTTTCATCCAGAATGTGGGCTATGTAGTGTCCACTGTATGCTGAGGGTCCCCGATGAATCAACACTGCTTTCAGTTTATAAATACACCCATCTTTGCCTGAACTGTTTTCACATGTTAGATTACCATTGGAAGTCATGAATTTGCTCATGTCTAGAGTTTCTGGAAATTGTATGAAGCCATTCAGTTTCTTCTTGTGCCCTGTCTTCTTGTCAAACACAAATCTGAGGAGCTGTAAATTTAGAATCGGTGGCAGTCTCTTCAGCTGTATGGCCCTTTTGGCGTTTTGTTTCCTGCAGCATGTAGAACACATGTACTGATTGTCTCCCTCTAGTTTTTCTTCATGCAGAAAATCAGTGATGGAGTCCTCTAGGGTCTTGTGACCTTGGATGTGCAAGTCCAGCTCATAGAACTTGGAATGTGTTTGAGATGAATTGTGACAGCCACTGCAGGTGGTGACATAAGCATAGTCCCCACATAACTGGTCTTGAATTATGTTGCGTACTGAGGAGTCTTGTTGATGAGACAAACATTCCTCTAACAGAGAAAGAAAAAGCTTGGAAAATTCCTGCGCATCTTGCTGTAGAGCTGCATCCAGACCTAAATGATCGATGAAATCCTGTGGACTGATGAATGCACGTTCGGAAAGCTCTAACAGGGAGAATATTGCCTGCAGGTGCCCTCCTATACTGCTTGGTTTCCACTCATCCCCCACCTTGTCCATCATGGCTGTCTCCCTGAACTTGTAAATGGCTCGTCGTATTGGGGGACTGTGAAACCACAGCTGAAGAAACGTGTTCACATAGCACGTATTTCCCAGATTTTTCAGTCCCACAAAGTCTTGACCTTGCCTGCGTTCATTGTTTGGGTCTTCAATGTCATGCCAGCTGTCGTCGTTGATTTCTCCGAACCACTTCCGTTCTCCAATACAATTTATACAAAAGGGATTTCCTTTACAGTTTCTTTTACAGGCTCCTAATTTACAGGGCTTCAGATTCAATCTGCAATATATGAAAATTATTTGTTGAATGATTAAAATCTAGTTTAAAAAAATCATATACATGTACTTGTATATATTTAAGTTAAACTAACAGTTCTTTATTTTGTTCACCTATCTTCTGGAAATATTACTTCAGAAATCTTTAAACATGAATCTACCATTTGTGTTTTTATATTTGTTTTTAGAAAATTTTTAAATTAATTGTACAGTTTGTGATTTCTAGCTTTCTGTTTTGAAGATTTTGTTCTAATAGGCATCTTCGCTAGCCAGTGGTTTCTGATACGCTACTCTCCTCATGAACCCTTGGCATATGGTGAAGTCAAAAGACGGAATTGTTTTCATCAAGTGATCTCAAATCTATCAGGTACGCACAGATTGCATCATCAACAGAAATAAAGACGCATGTTTTTAAAAAAAATTAAATCAAAGTTTTTTTCAATAATAATTAAGAAGCAATAATTGAGTTATGTTTATTTATTATTTATAGTACAAATCTGAAGCTTCAATATAGATTCTTAATCACATATTTAGAGGATATTGGATGACACCATAGCTATTCATAGAATTGCATTTATCTTACTGATCATTGTTTACTTGCGTTTTTCATTTCCGAGATTGAAGAGTCAAGAAGTATCCTGAATGCAAATATCATCATTTACAAAAAAACAATTGCTGATTGGTCGACTGGGTGTACAGAATCCCAGAAAAAAAAAACCCAACTTCTATCAAAACCTAATGCCAAAGGACTATGAGGAGAGTAGCGTATCAGAAACCTTGGCTAGCAAAGATGTATAATAGGCTGTACTGAAGTGTTCATTGCTGATGTCTATAGGGTCTAAGTTTTTTTTTTTTGGCATGATAGAAATTATCAGTTTTTTTTGTAGTCCACATACTGATATATGCTCATCAACGATGTCTACCATGTCAACAGGCAAATTTTTTAGATGTGATTTTGAGATTATCAGTTTACTTGTAAACTTTTCTGATTTGCTCATTAGTGATTTCTGTAAGATCTGTGTATGATTATGATATTATAATTTTACTTGTAGGCCGTCCTGATGTGCTCATTAGTGATGTCTGTAAGATCTGTGTATGATATAGTTTTTAAGTTTACTTGTAGGCTGTCCTGACGTGCTCATTAGTGATGTCTACAGTGTGTGTGTATATTTTTTATGTACAGCTGACTTGTGTACCAGTAGTTGATTATGATATTATAATTTTACTTGTAGGCTGTCCTGATGTGCTCATTAGTGATGTCTACAGGGTCTGTAGTCTCCGCCCACTGCCAGGCTGCCTTGTCTAGCTGCTGCTTTGTAGGCATCTCTGTCAAAAATAGACACAAAATAGACACATTTTTAGCATTTTATAACAATAAAATCAGTCTTCATAAGTTCGCAGCACAGTTAAGGTTACAAAAAGGAGGCGGAGCCTAATTTGTATGGGAAAACTTGACTATGACATCATACACTACAGCGTATTGTTTTGTCGTTAGTTAAATCCCACATAACAAGTTATAAACAAGTCACTGATTGCAATACACTTGTCAATATGACGTCATTTCTTACAACGTGACGTAGTTTGTATGCAGTGAGAGACAGATCAAGTATTATTTTCTAAACAAAATATGTATTCTCTAATTAAATAAAATATTATTTACAGATATTCTATGGGCCATTAACTTGAATTTAATGTCTTCTTCACTATTTTATTAATATATTTTCTGTACATTACGTATTTAATTGACAATGCCGTTTATTTGTATGCAAGTACATCGGAGGGTAATGTGGGGGGTCTTAATAAATCGATCTAGTGCAAGGGCATACACTCTATGGATCAAAGTAAGCTTTTACATTTCAACTATAGAACTATTAAGATATCTGAAAAGTGCTGCAATCCTGATGAAATCTTAAAAACAATTTAACTATATCAATATTTCATGCCGCTGACCAGCAAAAAATATAGCATTCGGTCATACAAGTATAATTTTATAGATGAAATTGCAGAATTTAGACAGGATCGCAGCACTTTTTAGAAACTACAATGCGTGTTGAAAATATTTATATACTAAACTTGGAAATTGAACTTGGTTATGCCCTTGCACTAGTGATACTTATATCATTATGTAACATCAATACTTCAAGTCAATGTGCTAAAATCGCATGACTGCCGCATCACGTGACTAGTCTAAATATAAAATATAATCGTCCTCGATATGTAGTTATTAATCATAATTACAATTATCCGATATAAATAATGTACTAAAAATAATCGCCATCCCGATTACGAATACATTTTTAAATACTAATTTTAGTCGATATTTCCATTGCGCACCTTAACTGTACTGCGTTTCTCCTTAGCATGCTTAGTTTTGACAAGAACATTGTGTTTTACAGGTGCATGATGGTAAATATATATATTTAACTGCAAAGTTCTATAATCAAATATTACACCATTTCTATGTATTTCAAATTGATCTCCCTTTAACAGCTGTTTAATATCAGTGTTCTGCTCTTTTCCACTTTTTTAAGTAAATGAGGTTCTTCCTTTGTTTGAGCAATTGTACACCATCTTATGTGCAGGGAGGCATTAATAAATATGGTTCCTTCACATTGTGCTGATTTATTACTACATGTAATAAATTATACCTTGTTTACTAGAACTGGTCCTCTTTTTTATTTGAAAATTATTTCATGATTATTTATAATTATACCACACCTGTTAAAGATGATGTTGAACATTGTTAGTTGTAGATCTCTGGTCTGAAAAATTGGGATGGCAGACCGAAGAGCTACAGTGCCACCCACTGAACAAAGTTTATATATTATTGCACACAAAAAAATTGTTGTGTCCTGATTTATTTCTAAGTATCTCTAAAACTGTTACTAACTGTGATTTCCTAATATATTCATTTACTACTTCCACAACAAAATGGTAAACTCTATGTCCAAGTCATGTACGATGCACGCTGGGCTAAACTGTCTTGTTACCCAAGATGGCAGTGCACTGTATAAATAGTCAAAATTGTCCATGGGATCAATTTCAGGACTAGGATTTTGGAAATATTTTACTGTGGAAGTCATGAAAAAATATAGGAACAGAGTTATATTTTACGATGGATGGCAGCTTAAATATACATTGAAATAAATCGAGAAACGTCACATTTTTTTGTGCCCAATAAATATACACTTTTTTCAATGGGTGGTACTGTAGTTTTCTGGTCGTCCATCGTCCATCCCATTTTTTTTTTTCGTCAGACCAAAGACTGAGAGAGCTACAGATTTGCAGCTTGAACACTGTGACCTGGCAGAAACTATTTTCAGAGATATAAAAATGTTTTTATCCTAAATGATCAAAGCCACCTTTCTTTAACCATTGCATCCACACAAACACATTTTAACCAGGAACCTATATACTAACAGGATAAGCAACTCTCACGATATCTCATAAGTCGTGGGATTTCGTATGTCAAATTTAATTAATTATATCACTAATACTTTCAGATATTTGAGATCAAAACCTTTAATTACCTATCAAAAAATTATTGAAGATTTTTTTTTTAGCATTTATTATACTCCTTGTCTTACTAGCAATTTTGTTCTATTCAAAATCAGCAGATGCTCCTGATCGGTTGTATTTCCGAGAAATTACGATTTTGGTTTTTTTTCCTTTGTATTTAAATTATATTATAATGTATGCTTAAAAATTTATTAAAAATCAATTCCAATACATAAACATGATTAAAGGAATAAATGAGATTAATCAGAAAATATGCTTTTAACTGGGAATAAACGTAGTTTGAAAAACTTGTAGTGTTGTGCGTGATGTTTTGGGCAAATCAACATGGCGTTGAAGGACTTGCCTATCCAGTTAGTATATAGGTCCCTGTTTTAACACATGACTAAAAGAAAATAAAGAACCAGGTTTAATGAAATAACAAAAATAAGCACACTATCCTGGGTGCTATCTGAAATCAAATGAGAGATTTGGCAGGATATTTACTTTCATTGTAAATATATATTGTTATGACATGGTGAACTTTAACTGTCATATTATGTCCAACAGCATTCTCAATAATGTTACATTGTCAACAAGGTCCCTTCCAAATGTGGACATTTTAGCTACACTGTTGGAGGAGGCCCTAACTTACTGTGAACTGCGAAATTTCATACGATATACAATTGAGACAATCCTGTTGCATAGAAACAAATATGCAGCGCTCTCATTACCTGTCAGAATCACTAAGAACGCATTTCATTCGGTAATTTGCGCTTCCCGCCTCTCTTGCACCTGTCAAAATCAAAAGTATTTCCCCATTTAACTTCCGGTGGATTATCTCCTATGGATTGGTACATCAATCCAAATCATATTCGAGTTTTTTGAATTTGGGAATCTCAAAAGAATATCAAAAAATGAACATAATTTCATCGAATATAGCAAAAAATAGAAAATGAAATTTTTAATGTAAGGTTTAATTTAAAGAACAATATGTTTTTAATCTAATTTTATTGCTAAATCCGAAATAAATGAAGAACAATCGGTTTGAAATTTATTGTCTCTGTAAAAGAAAGCTTTGCAGAGCCTTCAGAAAAACATACCATTTCAAGCGTTATCAAGACCCGTAGATTCACAACAAAAAAACATGGATGACTGCAGGCAGCAGTCCAGGCACATGTCATCTGAAAACGTGTTAGACGACATTTTAGAAGTTGTTAAGAAGAACTGTGGAGCTCTTGATAGAGACCCGAGCAAATTGGTAGTACAGAGGCGTCAAAAGAAACTACAGAATGGAGATTTTTGCATACCTAAAGGATGTTTTCAGATGAATGTTGAGGTACACATCTCCGGGAGATGTCGTAGGGACTAAAATCTTGGTCTGGTGTCCCGACGACAAGCCAGTAATTTAGTAAAGATTGGTTGACGCTAAACAGAGAGAGAGAGAGAGAGAAAAAAACTTTGAATCAGAATGGAAAAAGAAGGAACAATTCTATGGCATGAAATACCCCCGTAACCCTGCTGTCAGCAGGTCCAGCACAATACCCTGATAAAGGTATATAGCTTGATTAAGCTATATAGCATTATCAAGGTATTACAAATACCTTGATCAAGGTATTTTATGTAATGAAAATTCAAAAAAATTCTTAAAAAATTAAATACTGAAAGTCAAGTTCTGAGTTGTTGTCAGTAAGTTCACCCATGCATGTAAAGTACTCAAACACAAAGAAATCAGTAATATGTCGACGGTGCGACCATAAGGTTGAGCGCAGATACTTATCCAGTTTTCATTTAGATCGGACTCGTCAAACCGCACGTGACATTCGGTGCGTATAAGACTCTGACATCACATGACGTCATTTGCATGTTGCTTTACCAAACCGAAGCCTGAACAGGGCTGATTTCAATCAGTTTATGACTATTTTTCAGCAATAAACAGATAAATTTAGTAAATCAAGGCAAGTTTTTTATTTTTAAAAACTTTTGTCATTATTCTTGCGAGAACGTGGCTTTAGCGTTTGTGTACGAAGCGATGCATTGTGGGTCAAAATAACTGCTGTAAAAATTCTATGGAATGAATGTGCAGTAGTCCGAATTATCTCTTCGCCCAGGCATTGTCGTTAAAGCTCGCAGTTACGAGCACTGCTTCACGGCGCTCCCTGCGCTTGCTGTAAAATCATTTCGTTTGAGGAGACATTCTTTTATGCGGTATTTTTGATACCAGAGTGCTTTTCATGCATGAGTGGACAAACATGATTGTGCCGGACCTCGTCAGATTCAGAAAACTCCAAACTGACCCATCTTTCAATTTTCATTTCAAAAGAGATGAAGACTAAAATGAATCAGTGTGATACATTTGACTGCATTTTTTTCTCTCAAAAGTGTGAACAAAAAGTATACTTGAGAGGTTCTGTGTACATATTTTCCTTTTTATGCTTTCCCATTAAATCTCCAAAGATCTGATATTCACCTGAATAACAGGAATACAAACATGACAAAGTGCTAGTTTAACCTGAAACTCTTTTTTTGCATAATTATAATTTTTAGCAAAAAAAGATGAAGAAACATACATCGTAAGAGTCTCTGTATTAAAAAAGAAGTTTTGATCACCTGTATACCTATTTTTTTCCCTAAGAATCAATTTCCAAAAGCTAGAAATTGCAGTGAGCTTTTTATCTGTAATTCTAGAAACAGGGATAATTGTGTAGTATCCAGTCTGTCACTTTTATCTTATACATGTATAGAGTTTACTTGAATGTCAAATGATATGTCAGGTTTTATATTAGATGGCACAATTGAAAATTAAGTAAATGAAAATGAAAGATGTTGAAAGTTACTGTAGTTAATCATGATAATTATAAATATTTAATCACTTTAGTTTACTATTCCCGTTCACTCCTTGGGGAGTATAGGGCTGCAACCACACCGCATTGTTTTACTTTACCAGTATCTGGTTTTATTATCAGGAGTTCACTCACCTGAGGGAGACACTACTAGAAGAGAGCCGACCTTGGACCTGCCCAGTGAGGGAGGTGAAATCTGACCCCTACAACAGCATGTTAATTTCTCTACACCGTCCCTCCGCCTACAAAACTGTGATATCCTCCCTCCTCAAGTCTGAAATTTCCCAGAATTCCATTGTTGACAGGGAGAGCAGAGAGAGTAATGAACTTAATGGAGATAAATCTGCACCAGTTAATGAATTGCACAAATTCAGGGAACAGGCGTGTGACAAAACTGTTTTAGTTAATGCTCCAGACTGTTTTGATTGTCAGTCATTAGAACAGCTGAGGGGACTGGTGCTGACTCAGCATATATTACAACTATTAAAGAATGATAGGTAACTACATGTAATCAAGTTAAAAATTTAACAGATATATGTCTCATTGTTTGTCATTCATAACTATTTCAAACAATCAGTAAATGTGTTCCAATATTCTAATAGACTGAAAAGTAAATGTTCATCATTCACAGTCTTAAAGTTGCAAATTCTATTATGAAATATTTTGAAGTGGACTGTGTTTTGCATACAAGAATAATTAAACAGAACTTGTACCAGAACCATAAATAAATTTGATATATTCTAATTTTAAAATTCTCTTTTTATTTTTAGAGTAAGGAGCAAGCTTGCAGCACAACCAATGACAGAAAATTCTAAAAAATGGTTTGAACTCTTAAATTTTGATTGTGAATTTCTGGAAGATAGGGAAGAAAACTGTGATGTTGAACATATCCTAGATCTAGTAAAGCAGTCAGAGTACAGACTTACACAAAGAAAACGGACTAGGAGACAGGAAAATAAACTTATAGAATCAGAGACCACAGTAAGACATGACCCTGGTGTGAATATCTCAGAGTGTGTGGTTTTAAATGCTGAAGAATTTTTGGCATCAAAAATATCAGAAGTTGGTGATTTTGACAAAAATCTGGACAAAATTTACAGTAAGAGAATGTATATTTATCTTCATGTAGGTACTAAAATGTATAACTGAAAGACCTTCATGTATGCTATATTCACAGTAATCAATTGTCCTTAAATGCATCAAATTGTACATCTTTAGTATTGAAATTAATATTTAAGCCTGAAAATATAATTCTTTGTGTTTATTCAATGCCAAGTCATGATTATACCCATGTATGGACTGCAATTAATTTATTTTACAGTCGCAGATGAAAATGGACACACAGATACACTGATACAAATATCACAGCTTCAGAAGTATAAGGAAAAAGTATGCATGTACTGTACATATGCAGTATACATACATTTCAAATGTTTTAATAGAAACCTTTCTTTTGGTGACATGTGTACTCTACTATGCTTAAAAATTCATATTTTTCAGATGGGTCATTATGATTGTGTCTTACATATAATTCCAGACAGGAAAAGTTTTCAGCAACAGAAAATTCATTTGGGTTGGCAGATGTTGACAAAGGATGCCCCAAGACAGGTAAAATTTTTAAATTTTTTTTGTACCAGTTTAGTGTATGTTGTTTCTGTCTGCTTTTTTAAAACGCCTAGCATTCCATCATACAATTTACACAGGAACTTTTATTACACTTGTTTATTCGTTTTCTCTATATATAGTCTCATTTGTAGATCAAACTTTATATGAAATACAACCACATTATGCAATGTGTAATATACATTTTACACCTCTTTCTTTTAGATCCATCAGGAGTATGGTTCAGTTACAGAAAGAAAGTCTAAAGATTCTCAGAAAATGGATGCCCAGACATTTTACAAGTATGAGCTGAAAAAGTTTACTTTAGCATGTGACTTAAGTATTTTATCGTTGGATCAATAAAAAATCTGATGTATGGACTGAGAATGTCCATTCATCTTTTGTGAAGATTTCACATATTGAACTATATATTCATTACAATTCATTTTTAAAAACAAATTGTCATCAATTTATTCATGTTTCATTTGAAGATATTAAATTTTGAGAGGAAATTATTTCTGCCCCTCCTAATTTGAAAACTTATTTATCTCACCTATAATATTATTTTGCAGCATAGTAAATAATTTAGCGCTATTCTTCTTCTTGTTTTAGTTTAAGGTTTGACCAAATGAAGGAAGCTTCAGTCATGAAATACGGAGAATGTGTGAAAGGTGAGGCAGAATTTTTTTAGGCTTGATAAAAGGAGAATAAATAGTCTTATTTTTTTGACATTTAATTGTATGAATAGTGTCATTTTTTTTAGAAATAGGAATGTTGGAATTATTGAATATATCTAGAGAATTTAAGAAAATTTATTTCAGCACTTTCACATCTGTTTACAGAGTTATGGCCCTTTAAATAGCTATATCACTTTCTAAGAACATTATACATTTTTGTGTGTATAATAATTCAGGTGCTGGCTGGAATAAGACAATAGAGAACTTAACCATGGCTAGTGTCAAATTTGAGCTGCTGCTTAATGTTCCACGGAATACTGTAAGTTTGATCTCAAAGAAATAACTTCTTTTCTACTCACATAATTTACATATACACTTTTAGTCTGAGCTAAGATTTTTTTTAATAATTAGAACACTTCTTATTTTTTGACAGGTGAAGTTAGACTTGTCAGAGGGGAATGAGTTTGGTGGGGGTGTGGACAATAGAGCGGGGGCATTTGTGATGTACAACTGTGCTAGATTGGCCACTCTCTTCAAACATTTCAATAAGGCAGTGGATGATGGTATAATTATGCACCCTTTTCTTTTTTATTCCTTTCTGAAATTATTATATACTGTAGAAGTACTTCTCACTGCATGATATTTACAATACATATTATGCAGTTGCAATTTTCCTGGAAATGTGTGACATGAAGCTTAATTTGTTCAATATGTAATGGTATTTTATAATGGACATATGATTCCATTGAATAAATAAGAAACATTGGTATGAGACTTAACTTACATATATTCATTTTGATTTGCTTAAATTCAGTTAAGTATGTTTTTTCTGTCAATTTTTAGGAGTGTATCCTCCTCTACCAAGCATTGATTCCATTGACTTTGGATTGTTAAGAGAAGAGGTAAATCTACCTTGAATTAATCATGAGAATAAAATATAATTTGAAATACAAAGGTAAAAATTCTTTTTAGGATTTGTAGTATACAACAACATACCACAATATCTTTTCATCTTTTTTTTCATTTCAGGATGAATGGTCATTATTTTTCAACTATATTTTCCCTTACCCTGATTTACTCAGAAGCACAGTGGCTGATGTCCTTCCATCTAATGATGGGATTTACTCCAAACTTGGAACACATAAGGTATCATGCCAATGTAGGGTTTACTGTTATATATTGTTATTGAGGAAACTTTGTCAGGGCCCCATCCCTGGGAGCTGCCCTATATATCACTTTCAATGTTATTTCCGTGAAATAAATGTTGAGAAAAAAGTTACATGCAAAAAGAATAACCGTTTTTTTTAGAAAATGCTTGAACAAACTTGTACTGTAAAAAAATTCTTTCATGGGCAAGAAAAAGCTGCATGTTTCATGACCTTATTTTACTGGAGAATATTTTCACTGCAAAGCAATGATATGCAACGTTTCCTTATTTTTGAAAATTATTGGATGCTGATGAATATCAAATGTATGAATTGTCAATAAAAAATGTAACAAATATTTTATCTTTCGTAGATAAGTAACTTCCTGATTGGCTTGAGTCGGAGTTTAAGCTGCTATTACAGTCATGTCCATGTACTTGTAGTAAGTTCTAATATGTCTTTTTTTCCTATACAGCAAAACTCGGTTATAATGAAGTCACTGGGGCCTATGAAATTACTTTGCTACATCCGTAATTGGTTATAACCATATCAGAAATTCATTAAATTTATATAGCTGGGGATCCAAGATGACTTCGCTACATTCGTGTTCATATGAATTTTGCTGTACATGTACATGTATCATAGTAATTCATGCAAGAATCCATTCTGCTGGTAATAGTCTTAAGTTTCTTTCTAACTTTAATAAGACTTTTTACTTGATTTCTGAGTTGTGAAATTTTATAAAAAAATCTTATAAGTTTTAATTTTGATATTCCAACAAAATGCAAAACAGCTCTCTCAATTTTCTGTTTAAAAGAGTTTTTGCTTCTCAAATGAATATCATTGAAAACATGAAAATATTTTGTTTCCATTGCAGGAAAATCGTCCTAATTTATTGCCCACCATGTTTGCAAGACTATATCTATTGAAGGCGCTTCATCGAGTCATCAAGGATGGTCTTTATTTGATGGGGATCTGTCCACCAACTCAACTATAGGATAGAATACGTCTCCCTCCCCCTCCACTCCTAAGGTCTACTACATAATGTTGGTATAATATGGAGGACTGCTCAGTGAACTGTGTCATGTAGAACTTAACTTTGTTAGAATTTTACTATAATAGGTCAAGTTTAAAGATTTTAAGATTTTCAGGATAACACATGCAAGAAAATAAAATTAGACATTTTATTTAATATTGAAAAGTGGGGAAAAAATTGAAAGAATTTTTGTCGAAGAATTTGTTATGCTGTTTTCTTTATGCAAAGTTTATTTTACTGTGAGAGTTTTTCACAAGGAAAAAAATGTGCTGTTATAAATACAGTATAAGATAATAAAAAGAATTTAAAAATCAAAGAAAATCTTGATTTTTGGTCATAAAGAATTTCAAAGAGTACATGTTGAAAGAAGATTTTGGAGGAAAAAAATTAATATAAGACATGGGAATAAAAAAAAATTCTTTTAGAATTTATTATTCTAAAGACTGTCTATATCAATACATTACATTTTAAGAGCAGGTTTGCATTTAAACACCAGATTGAGATATTTTCTAGATAGCATTTTTGAATGTATGATTTGAGAACATGTATTTCACTAATTTTCACTTGATCATAGATGCTCTTCTCTTCAGCAAAGCATTGTGGTCTTTGTAAACTTGGGGTAATTCAAAGAAGGAAAAAGTAAATGCAGGACTGAAATCCAGACTAGACATCCTAGGGATCATCTGACGAGGTTGGGGTTTAGGTTGGACCTCGGGCTTCGGCCTTTGTTGATATTTTGGTACTCTGGCCTCAACTACTGGGAATTTAGAGGCAAGACAAAACCTCCTGTCTATGCCAAAGTTCTTTTTCTTCTGCTCTGGCTGGTTTTCATTGGAAGGGCTGATGATACTCATTCCTGTTGAGCTCTGTAAAAAAAATCCTCATCAGTATTAATTTAAATAACTCAATGAAAAATTAAAGCCCTTACTTACATATACTTATGAATATTTGTACATGTATATTTATTATAAAAATTCTTTTTCTTAATGTTAAATGCAGGTATTAGAAATATTTCTGTCAAGAATATTATAGAATCAGGTGTTCCACCATAATCAATGTTTACCTTGACCTCTGGCAGTGGTTTTTTGGTGACTTCTGGTAATGATTTGTTAGAATTAGATGACCCAGCACTCGATTTTGATGGCATTGTTTTCAGTAGATGATTGAGAGTCAATGAAGAGAGATGAGGGCGGACAACTTCAGGATCTGGTAATGGATAAACTGTAAACAGAACATTTGAGAGATGAGAAAAATTCATGTCTTAAAGCTAAAGAAGCATTATTGGTTGCAGTTTCTACTTCTCAATCTCAAAAGATACAGTATGCAGTAAACCATGCGTATAGCTAGCACACTTTTAATGATGCTAACAGCAAAGTACCTAATGGCATGACATTATTTGCATGTTTTAGTACTAGTATCAGAATTTTATTTAATACATGTACATATATGTACAAGTATGCGGATATCATAATATATTTAAATCATTTGACCCATACACTTGAAAAATCATCATGTAAGTGTATATTTCTTAAATTATTAATCTTGAAAGTCTGTTCATTTCAGTTTTATAATCATTGCTAAATTAGCTTACTTGGATTAAGAGCTGTTGTTTTCTTAGTATACTTTAAAGAAGAATTCGGCACTTCCTTTGCCTTGATTTTCCTTGCTGGCTTGTGAACAGATTCTTTCTTCTTGAAAACATCAATATACTTTTTGTCGAAGGATTGCGGCACCACTGCCATTGACTGCTGTATCTTCTCTCCAATAGAATAGCTCATCCTCACAATGGTGTCTTTAGCCAGAGAATTAGAGAAACGGCTGTTGCTATTCATATTAAAATATATATTAATTTTCAACCATCAAATTTAAATAATCACTGAAATATGAACAGAAAGTTTAGATATTTGAAAATTTAAGGGTTTGTACTGTTTTGAATCATGTACAGTAAAACTTGTTTAATCCAGATATTGTGTTTTCTAAAATATTGCCTAATATGAAATGACATCTAAACTGTAATCGGTTTTCCTGCTATTTTGTTTTGAACAAGTGGTATGTAGTTTATACAAGTTTAAGCATCGGTTATTGTTCAAAAAGTGAGAATAACTTGAGGGAGAATTATATACATGTAAAGAATCTTACCTCCTAATGGTGCTAAAACTATCACAAGAACTAAGAGGACCATTAGAAATGATGGAAGCTGGCCTGTTGTCATATTTCTCCTGTGTTATCAGAGGGGGTTCTATCTCAGGCTTAGAGTGAATTTCCCCCTCAGGATTTGGTGTACTACACAAGGATGGAACATGTTTGTGTTCCTCACAAGGAGTGGATCTAATGGATGCTGTAATATCAGGGGTGGACCTTTGGCTGTCTTTGTTGTCCAGACCAACATGAATGGAAGCGTGGTAGTTGCTGAGGGCAGGGAAACTTGTGAGATGAATGGGAACATTTTGATCTAAAAGGATGAAAGTAGAATTGTTAAATATAGTCACATTTTTTCACAAAGTCTCTGTTATTTACAAAAATGGTAGGATTGCACAAGCCAACACAAAAGCATAATAAACAGTAACAGTGGCTACCGCTAACATGCTTTTAATAAATTCACGATTTTAATTATTAGCTGTACTTTTAAAATTTATTTATTGTATATAGTAAACTACGTGTACATGTTTGCCTGGCTCTTCGCTATAAGCGAGTTTTACGGTATACTTCCCTAGGGACAAAAAAAAGGATACGTTTCTTTTCTAAGTACGTGTACATGTATATTGAAATATGAAATTTTAAAACAGCAAACATTACGTCTTATTTTTTGCAAGATGGGTATATGGTTCTTATAAGCAAGACACTTTTTTCACGATTTCTGGATATTATTTACATGTATGTAATTTACATGCGACCTTTATTGGTCATTTTTAATTTGATCAAAATGCCGTTATTTTAGAAATATGACATCATAACGTTCACGTTTTCCCGCCATTTTACATATTTTGTGTAAAACGATTTTCAAACAAAAAAGTTCTCACAAATAAGGAAAAGATTAGCGGTACCTAATTAATCTCTTCTACAAAATAAATATCAATTAAACATATCTGAATGTCATTCTAAAAGAAGGAAAGAAATTACGCAATCAAACAAAAAAGTTCTCACAAATAAGGAAAAGATTAGCGGTACCTAATTCAGGACTTGAAGAAGGAAAGTCCAAGGACTCTTCATAGAGAAGGGTGGGGCTTATTCTCGATTCTGTTGATGATGAAATCGGACTGTTTCCAGGTTGACTTTGAACCGATTCATAAGCCAAATCAGACACCGGCTCAGAACTAGCATCGTTTGAGGAATTTTCCAACTTTTGTGCCATGATTGAAGCTGCTTTCTTCTGTCTACGGCGAGTTGCTGGTTGTACTTTGGATTCTGGCTCTTTTTCTTCGTCGCTAGAATCGTCATCGCTGCGATAAGACATGACGGATTTTCTCCCGATTTTACCCTTTCTCTTCGTTCTTTTCCATCGATTGTATCGTTTGTCTGTGACTGCACTGTAACAGATATCTGTAGGCATTCTGAAATCTAAGAGGAGAAGAAAACTTTGAAATTATAGTTTTCTATGTATCGAATAAAAAGGACATTTCTATTGGACACCCGTGCATAGAAAACTTATTCAAAATCAAAACTGGGCCAAGGAACTGTTAGGAATTACCTCGGAAGAACGTTTGGGATGGGAGCGAATTTTCCGGAGCAGACGAAGCCTCCTTGGTTCTCAATGAAATGTTTCGAAGAGAATTAACACAGTTCTGGAGAAGGTTGTGTAAATCATCACTGAAAAATAAACAAAAAAATTCTATAAAGAAACCTTGTTTTTGTGCCTCAACGATGCCTTTTTAATACATGTAAGAATTGCTTGAAAATTTGGATATTTATGCAAATTACCGTAAGGTTACCAACTATAGAAGAGACAAACTCAAAGTTTGCAATATGAAGACCAAAAAATAAACGTTAATAAAATTTAATAATTATGTCATAATTGTAAAAATTTTAATAGGTCGATTTTATTTTAAACCTGGAAGATGGTTGATGAAGATTGTCCTCTTTAGAGCTGATAGTGGTGACCATTTCTTGAGAGGCCTTTTTTGTTACTGCAGCAGGTCCCCCAACAGATGGTATAGGCGTCTGTGTATGACGTAGTGATGACGTTACCGGTGAACCTATTATTGTCTCCTTTACATTCCAACTATCTGTCCAGTGAAATCTCTGACCATTTCCAGATTCGACAAATTCTGTTATCGACGAGGAATATTCTCTGACATCTATTCTTTCCATACTGACGGGCTCATTTTGGATCTTAACCCCATCCATTCTTGGAATAGCATATAGTGGGTTTCGGTGGTATTCTGTGTTGCGAGAAGGGGGAGTTATTGTACGCAATGACGTAATTTTGTTATTGTCTTCTAAATTTTCTTCTGGAGTCTTCTGTGGAGGATATGTTTCCTCTTGATTCTCTATTTGTAGTGACTCGATGCTGGCAGAACTTGATGAAGACACTGAATCTAAAAACAATAATGAAGCAAGGTATTATTTTTAAGGTTCACTGACCCTTCGAAAGAGAAAATAACACTTCACTAGGATAAATAATTATTATCCTTTTTACAATTTTCAAATTAAAATTGAAACATAGAATTTGTCCTTTGAAGAATGCTGACTTTGTTTGGAAGTATATACATGTAATTACATGTACATGTATGTAATCATAAGTGTTTAACCAAAATTTAAATGTACATAGATCCAGAATGAAGCTTTGAATGAGGAATTGCTGACGTCATACCTGGTGTTCTATTTCTTGGATGAATCAAACTTGGGTCAAAACATGATGCTGTTGGGACGCTTTTACTACGTTCGAATGGTGCATAATGCTCAGTTTGCGTATCCCATGGACTCTTGTAGAACACATATGGGTCAATCATCTGATCAGAGTAAAATTCATGTGACATGACGTCATCGTTATAGCAGAGGCTGCTCTTGGTCTGGCGCTGGTAAGCTTGGAATGGACATTCTGTTTCCATGTTGAGAGATTCGTGCTCGAGCATTCGGAGTTCACACTTTCCACAACAATAGCGCGGCCGCTTGATGAAGCCTGGGTTAAAGTCTTTTGACTGCTCAGGAAAGAGAAGACTTTAGAATATATATATATATATATATTTAGGTTTTGCAAATTTCTAAGCAAATGAATTTGACACTTTACAATAAAATACTCAAATGACAAGCAAATTCAAAGAATTGTACTCTCCCGCTTTCGGTGTCTTCAAACTTATTGGTAATGCACCTGTGAAATATGCAAGTCCTATCTATTCTCATTCAAAAGTTATGCCAAGATCAAAGTTTTTTTCTGACAGACTGACTTACACTTGCTGATCTGGAAGGAACATCACAGTTTATGTGCTGACCATCAACGGAAAAACTCTGATCCGCCCCAGGAGTGTAAGGCGAAGCAGGGGGCGTAAGAGGAGTCATGTAACCTTTAGTTGAACACTCTGGACTCGTGCGATTGAGGTTTTGTATTGGTTTATTTTTGATACACGCCTTTCTGGTGTCATTTCTGGTTCGTACTTGAAGTAGAGGAGTTGCTCGCTTTAATATAAAAAAAATAGTAAAATGTAAAAATAAATAAATAAAAATGTAAATTAAATAAATAAAAAAAATTAAATTAAAAATCAATTTTCAATATATAATTATTTGCGATAATCAAATTCTGGGAGTGGTAACATTAAGGAAGATAAATAAATAAATTCCATAACCATAAAAACAACGTTATGAATCGTTATTATATCAAATTAAATGCACTAATTCAATTCTTAATTATCAGGAAAAACATACAACACTGTTAATGTTTCCCCCTGCACCAAGACGTTCGCCAAACAAGGATAGGGGGCCCTGCTCTTCTTCCTCTTGGGTTTCTCCACATTCAGTGTATGGGTTGACAACATATTTTCCTGATACGTTTACAACCTGTAAAACATGTTGTATTGATGCGTGACCGATGCATATGAGAAAGGACAAGTAGGGAAACAAAACATGCCCACATATATCCCCCTTCCAGTCATATGTAACGTTAACTCTGTCTTATTAATTATAAATTGATAAATTAAAAGTCAAAGTTAAAACGGGCTTTTTTTATCCATTACAAATATAGAATCCAAAAAAGATGCTACTGTACTAGTACTCATACAAAAATACAACATTTAAATTTAATGGTTTACATGGATAAATATAAAGAATTTCAAATTTTTGCAATATATCTTCATGTACACGTATTTTAACATATTGAAAATTTGGGCAATCTAAAATGATTTCAAATCGGTCTTTAATTAACTACAAATATCTTGTACATGTACGTGTATGACCCTATTAAGTGTAATTATCTACCTCAGAGTTGTATCGGGGCGTGGTACAGGGACCGTACACCTGACTTCCCTCCCTGGACAGGAGGGGGATCCCCTGTAACGATTCCCCGGGGAGATCAGAGGAAGGCTTCCGGGGACTTATGAGGTGAAATCCCTAGAGGAAATCAAGAAATAAGATTATTTTAATACACCAGCTTTACTTTTTTGTACTGCAGTATATACAAAAATATTTTTAAAGTATTATATTAGGTTTTCAAATGCAGCAATGAGCGTGAACAATAAATGAATGATTTACACAAAAATAAATTTATTTATATATTGAATACCTAAATTCAGAACAAATTTTTAACCATGAAACTTCTGTAGTACTTTTTTTATACTGTCATGCATTTCGAATGAAATGCGAATTATACATGATTTTCATTATTATAAAATTTAATATTCTTTCATTTTTCTTTGGATTAAATCGCATGAAAATTAAAATGTAACATAAATTTTAATAAGAAAATCTCGACTCTTCTGAAATTGATAGGAAAAAAGTTATCATATTATTTCTTTAAAAAGTATTTTTTTTATTTAACATTTTTGCTGCAGCGATAGTTTACGTTATACATGTACGTGTTTAAAATGAAAATGTAAGTACAGTGTACCTTTGTGATTTTGGTCTTTTGAGCTAAACAGATGTTAATATTTGGGTTCGAACGAGGACTTTTTGTTACTGGAGGTCTATGATGAACAATAGCCCCGACAGACATTTTTTTTTCGCTTTTATGCTCTACATCTGAAAAAAAAATCAAAGCATAAGCCAAATATTGAAAGACATAACATATGTACAGGTGTACATGTATTTAAATTAAAAATGAAACTTAAAATTTGTTTGCAGTAATATTAATATTCAAACAAATGACATTGAAAAAAAAATCAAACCTTCAAGTTCGACGAAGCTTCATTGTTTTTCTAAGGCCATTGTGACGTATTTAATTTGTGACGTCACAATGGGTATTTTTGGCATGGTGTAGTTCACATTATGACGTCATTATATTCATACAAGTCAACTTTAGAGTAGTTTACATGCACAGGCGCTTGACGTGTTTGACATTTCTTTTCATATTTAACATTTACCCGTGTAATAATAGTAAGAGACAAAATCTATTTAAGAAAAGAACTCCCAGTTTTTGATACGTCAAGCGTCCATATTTACATGTACATTTTGAACAGCTACAGTGTACATGTAAATCTGAATTCAGCAATTTGAAAACGCGTGAAAAGTAACATGGATACCCAAATTCATACTATTTTCTTTTTTCGAAGAGTCAAATTTAATAAAACAGACAAATTACCGTTTTCTTATTTCATTAAATAAATTTTGAAATTAAAAAAAAATATGCTCAATAATTATTATCTGATATTTCATGGATGATTCAAACATAAATAATCACTGGCGAAATTTTTATTGATTCATACTGAAATGATTATCATTCAAGTAGAGAAATAAACAGGATTCTATCAGAGACATGTAGGCCTATACTAAATTATAACGTTGATACTGTATTTTAAAAGGCATTACTCCCCTTTGTTAGATCTTCAATGTTAGGAGATAAATTTGATCGCCGCTTTCCTGACAACATTTTTCTTGCACGATAATTTTCATACTAATTTTGTTGATTGTATACCGTTTTTGCTCCTATTCAAGTGCTAGAATGGTGTGATTGAACAATTAATTGATAACGGGTATTGTATTATTTCAAAATCCATACGGGTATGATGCAAATTAGTTTAAATAATATAATGTCCTGATTGACCTGATTTCATATATATGCTGAAATAAAGATTTTTTATGCACATTAACAATAATATTTTTAATGGAAATTATTAATATTATCATTTTCTTTGAGAACCATGAAGAAAATGCAGAATCAAAATATTTTTGTATGTTTTATTTGACTTAGAAATTTGACAGGGGTATAATGTCCTGATTTTGGGGTATAATGACCTGATGACCTGATAGTATAAAAACCTCTAATGAACACACTTTAAGATTATTTAAATATTAATATTTGATAAAATATCTTTTTAAGAGTGATATGTGAAGTTAGTTTAATTAAGTCTGGGTGAAAATGTGTTTTATATATTGCCCGAAATCACTTTTGAAGTTTGTAGGGGGTATAATGTCCTGATTTCTGAATGTCCTGATTGACCTGATTTACGTGTAAACATACACGTAGTGATAAAAATGCATATTATCAACTTAAATATTACATTTTATTGAGGGAATTATTGATTACATATGGTGATTCTATACCGGTATTACGTACACTTTTTATGATTAAAAGAATTTTATTAGTCAAGAAAAGGTAATGACCTAGCTGATATTTTGAAATCACCAAAGACTCATCTGATTTAATTTAAACAATATTTTATTATGATAAAAAATAATTGGATTGGACAGCAGGCACTGCCTATATAAGTCCTTTCCACAATACAAGGTCAAAATCATACATGTACAAGTAAACATTATTAATATAACATTGAAAAATATAAATATATACATGCATATATTCAGTAGAAATGTATATGACAAGGCAAATTAAGGAGAACAGAAAAAGAGAAATATATGAGCTGATAATATAATTTAAATTTATATTTTAACATATATGACTGGCAATTATATTAATAATTGTATAAATTTAAAAAAAAAATGAATAAGAAAACATAAATAGGTTTTGGTTCTGTGATTTGACAATTGAAAAACAAAATCAGATAGAATATCATGCAAATCACTTTGTAGTTGCAATAAATTCTTGAACAAGTTTAAATATTGCAATATTTTGGTTGTATGTAAGATTATTGTCTCCATTTAGAATAAGTTGTAAACATAAAGGCATTGGTAATTGCAAAGTATTATAAATGTATTCTGAATTAAAGCTTTGTATCAAATATTTTTTTCGTTTTTTCTCAAATAAACAAATTAACAATATTTCAATAAATATGCCCTAGAGAAATCTTAATTAATTATTTTAAAAAGTTTTTTAGATTATTTTATTTGTAATACATAGTTTTAAGAAAAAATCAAAAATTTCATTTTATAAGTATATAAAATCAAATGTTTAATCATTTAAAAATTTTGTCTTTTTTGAAATATGTTATTATAGTAATAGATACTGTCAGGTTTGTTTATGCAATCAGCAGAACATTGTTGACTGGGATTACACAGGTGTTAATTACAGAAGCCATATATAGGGGAGGTAGTAAAAGGGGGTATGTGGTCTATGTCCCTTTGACACTATCAGACACAATAAACAAGCAATGATATGTACACAAACAGGGTACATAATATTTTTTTAATTGATCAATTTATTTTGTTGTACAGTCTGTACCTTGCTGTAGAATCACAGCTATTTAAAAATTGGCATATACCTGTCAATTCTTATTTATCCTACTTAGAATTATATTGTCAACAGACGTACTTCATTCCTTTGATGTTTTATTGAAAAATGTAGAAATTTGTTCATAAACACGTGAATGCTCGTAACTTTTAAAACAACAAACGAATAAAAGTTTTAAAAATCATAAATTACGACATATCTTTATCCACAATTTTAAAATCTTTAGTTACCTCAATGCTTTTCTAAAATATCTGCATTTTCGCTACTTTTGAACATTAATAAAAAAAAAAAAATACTATTTTGGCTATACTGCGGCCAGTAAATCAAATTATCATTGTTCTTAAAAATTATTTTTTATAAATTTCTCTAAAACAATCAAAAGTTTCTTCAAAGATTTTGCATTATATTATTGCATAGATAAATCTTAAGTTTGCACAAAATACTAAAATATTGGTTTAGTGTACGTGCTACAATAAAATGTATGTATAAAGTGTATCAACTTTAAAATTATCAACTTAATTAAGAAATTAAAATTTAAAAAAATGAATGAAAATTAACATCAAATGATGAAAAGCATTGTAATTCCAATTCATTTTAAAGAATAAGTTAGACACAGGTGTTAAAATCAGGTCATAAGCAAAAATCAGGGCATTCAAAAAATCAGGACATTATACCCCTGCTAACTCCAAAAGTGCTTTTTGAGCTAGACATAAAAAATATTTTCCAAAATTCTTTTTTCTAAAACACTTATTTATCCTACTGAAAACAATTTAGATTGAAAAATTAAACAAATTTAATGATAATATGCTTTTTATTAGAATTTTCATATTATCAGGAAATCATGTCATTATACCTCAAAATCAGGACATTATACCCCTGCTGATTTTCTCTGTCAAATAAACAACATAAAAACATATTTTTTGAATTTTTTCTTTGGTGAATCTTATAGACAATTAGTATTCTAATTATAATCAGTTAAAAGAAACTTGTTTGGGCACTTTAATACTTCATATTTTAGAATTAAATGAAATCAGGTCAATCAGGGCATTATACTATCAGGGCATTATACCTTCCCATCGGAAGGATATCAAACGTGTAACAGGACTGGTGATTTTAAAATAACTAGTCTTTGTAAATTTACTATAATTTGGTTGATTTAAGTACTATTATAAAATCTATTTAACATACATTGATTAGCACTTTAAGAAATGCTATTCTTTTTCAGTATAATCATGGACCAACACATCATTTTGGGCAGGATTGGCGAGGGAGCTCATGGCATTGTTTTGAAAGCTAAACATATTGAGGTATTATAATTTCCACATATAATATGGACATTCTTATTTCTTACCATACTTTTTATTGTCTAATAAATATATATTTACAAAAAATGTGAAACAGGTATACTTTTTTTCTTGTGTGTGGAATCTGATACAAGTTTAACAGGGGAGGAGAAAATGCAGCGGAACAGACCGGGACTCGAACCTGGGCCCCCCTAAAACTCTGGTCAGGTGCTCTGCCAACTGACCTATCTGGCCACCGGCGATCGAACTGGGTTGACTGCCACACTCCTCCCTCCTTAAAGGTCTTTAACCCTCCAAAGACCCCAACCCAGGCTCATCCCTGACAGGTCTTTCACCTGTCAATTCTTGGGCATGGCACCAAATGTAACAGGAGAGGAGAAAATGCTGCAGACCAGACTGGGATGAGTCTGGGTTAGAGTGTTTGGAGTCTTTGCCACACAAGCAAAATTACAAGACTTTTCTTCATTCACAAACGTAATTGCATTGATATAATTTTTTATTGTCTTTTTCTCAGAGTGGGGAAGTGATTGCTTTGAAGAAGGTCCCTCTACGTAAATTAGAGGATGGCATTCCACACACAGCTTTAAGGTTTTTATCTTATATCTCTAATATGTTTTCTATTAATAACCATGATTAAGATGTGCTATTCGTAGATCATATTGAATATTTTATTATAATCTTATTATACTGGTATCTTATCTTTAGTCTATTAGTACTGTACATGTAAATGCAATGATTAATACATATTTTTTTTGGACATTAATTCCTTCATTATTTATTTTTTATAGAGAAATTAAAGCTCTCCAAGAAATTGAGGACAATCCATATGTGAGTATTTAGTAACAAAAAGATATAGTGTATATTTCTTATTTAAGGTCAGACGAGACGTTCCTCAAAATCTGTTTTGTATATCTTCGTAATGTATGAAAAATATTCAAAATTTTAATAACATTCTGATTTCTAAACCAGTTTCTAAACGTTTTTAAAAGATCCAAACACTTAAACATTTGAAATTGGAAAATTATTTTTCTTCCCCAAAGGATTATATAAGAAAAACTACCCCTGGTATATGTGAGTATTTTTTTGTGAGTAATCATGTTTAAGTAGCAATATTCATACAAACTCTTAGAAAAATTTATCTATTATTAAGGAACGTCTCGTCTGTCCTTAAGAAAAATTCATGGATACATGGGTTTGGAAAATGATTAAGCAGAACTAACTGTAGCTGCAATAATGTAGCCCTCTCTGATTTTTTTAATCTGATATTTTTTGGAGAGGGCTACAATTCCATAGCATCTCCGTAATGGTGCAAATATATTTTTAAAAAACAGGCGACTGCAAGCAAAAAACTTACTTCTAAAAAGAGGAAATTTTTATTCACTGTCAACAACAGTTAAACCCGAAAACCAGATAAAATAAATCTGTTTGTTTACCAGTGGCTCTCATCAGAAGCCATGACAGTTAGGGTTAGTAAATAATTGTGCTGTATGGCATCACTTATCATCAATAAATAAAACTCTTTCATGTAACTTTTTTCTGTTAATAGCCATATTAATGCCTAAAATCCTACAGAGATCTGCTCCTTACTGATCCCTGGTCTCATTGGTCAAAAATAAAATCGATCAAGGTCAGAAAACATGGCTGATAAATTCAAGTTGTGATGTTGACATACATGAAAATAACAGATATATGGATTGTTCTGTGTATATTTGGATTGATTTATATTTTGCATGACTACAATTTTGGAGTTCAGATAAGAAATGTTAATTAAATAGCCATTTACTGATAATTTAAACCGAAATCTGTGCGGGAGTGAATCACTCCCGCACTTGCACCATTACTGAGATCCTAAGGAGTTGTAGCCCCCCCCCCTCCCAAAAAATAAAGTTAGAGAGAGAGCTACATTATTGGAGCTAAACTAACTGTGGAGCTATTTTTAGGTTGTAAAGTTACGAGAGGTGTTTCCCCATGGGACAAGCCTGGTCCTGGCTTTTGAGTACATGCTCTCTGACCTTTCAGAGGTCATTCGTAATACAGAGAAGCCACTGACAGAGGGTCAGGTCAAGTCCTATATGTTGATGCTGCTCAAAGGGGTGGCTTTTTGTCATGAGAATAACATCATGCACAGGGTTTGTATAATTATATGTGTGTGTTTCATTTTATTTTAAATGAACATATCCACTTAGAGGACATATTTTTAAAAAAATGTTAAGGTGTGTTTCCATTGTTCAAAAAATAGCTGCGATCATTACACATGCATTCAATTGTGCTAAGTTCTGATATAACATTCTTCCTGCATTTTAGGATCTGAAACCTGCCAACCTTTTAATTAGCTCTACTGGCCACTTAAAGATTGCAGATTTCGGACTGGCTCGAGTATTTCAGAACAAAGGAGAAAGACAGTACAGTCACCAAGTGGCTACCAGGTTTGATTGAAATTTATACAGTGCAGATTATTATCAGATCATTTTGGAATTAGATTTAAAGGCAGATTTGTTTTTAGAGATTTCTTATTACTGTGTTAAATAACTTTAATGTTTTTGTAAAGTTGCTCATTGCTCCCAAGTTTGAAATCCTTTCTTTTGAAAGAAAATTAAGTTTTATAGAAACAGCAATGATTTCCATGATCATTTGTCAGAATTACTTATTGAATGTTTTGCTGTTTAATTTCAAATGTTCATAAAGCTAGCCAGTTCATCCTAGAAACAAAGATCTGAAAAATTGTCATGCATATATTTCCATCTTTGTAGATGGTACAGAGCTCCTGAACTGTTGTATGGAGCTAGAAAGTATGATGAAGGAGTGGACCTCTGGTGAGTGCTAAAAACATAGGCCCCTAATTTGACCCCCCTTTCTTTTCTTTCCTACTGAGTTACAAAGGATCGACTATACTGAATTATTATTATTAATCTTTTCAGGGCTGTTGGTTGTATATTTGGAGAGCTGTTGAACAATTCACCATTGTTTCCAGTAAGTATTGAAACATTTATACTGTTCATGTACTAGTAAATATTTACAAGCTGACTTTCATGGAATTTGTTTAATTTTTTTTTTTCATCACAGATCATTATACACTGTAATTTTAAAGAATTTTCTAAATGCATAATGGATACTACTTCTTATAATTATCTTTTATAGGGAGAAAATGACATAGAACAGCTTTGTCAGGTGTTACGAGTTCTAGGAACCCCAAATGAAAAGATCTGGCCTGTAAGTTCATTGATACAACAGTCACTTTAAAAGATTAATTAAGTAGATATATTAGATAGCTTGTTTCTATTAATATAAAAGGCCACTTTGTGACCTAAATATTTTGTTTGCAAAAATGAGGTAAATTGATGTACTGGAATTATTAATTATCATACTTTATTCTGATTCTTTTCAGGGCATTTCTGAATTGCCAGACTACAATAAAATCACCTTCCCAGAAAACAACCCCATACCCCTGGAGGAGATAGTCCCCGATGCTTCAGCTGAGGCGTTAGACCTCCTCAAAAAGTTCCTGGTGTACCCCACCAAACAGAGAATATCGGCTAAGGATGCCCTGCTTCATCCCTACTTCTTCACTGAGCCCCTGCCAGCTCATCATTCGGAACTCCCTATCCCCCAGCGCAGTAAGAGGGGGTTACCACGGCGACAACAAACACATGACTATAATATTGACACTCCATTGGAAAAGTCTTTGATTGATCCAGAGTTACTGGCCCCTCATGTTGTGAAGATTAGATGATTCCTTGTAATGGTGTAATTAAATGTGATTTAATAGCCAAGAGTGGTTGGATGATAAAAGTCTAAAGCAAAGTCACAGTACTGTAATAACTGTGATATAGTGGAAACAAATTTTTACTTACTGTAAACCAACTTTTATTTGCGCTGACTTTATTTTGTGATTTACTATGGGTAAACTAGTTCAAGATGATTAATCTTTGCGATAAAGCTTTTTTTTTGATCTGTTGTTATTAGACATAGAGACCAGATTAATGACTGCTTCCCGGCGAGAAATATTTGCGAAAATTTTTCGCACATGAATAAAATTTGGTTTACAGTAAACTGTATGTTTTTTTTTTTTTTTTTTAGTAAATAATGGCCAGTGTTTTCTGTTTCATATTTATAAACATATAATTGATTCAGAAAGGATCCTGGGGAAAAATGTAAATGCACTATGGTCAAAAGCCAGAGTTGCACTTTACGTTCAGTAAATAATCTTGGTATTAATGATAAAGCAATTTTACAGAAGTCTGTGGAAGCATTTCATGTTGAAGGCATAAAAAATCACACAGCAATATGTACCATTTTAATCGATTTGAGAACAACGTGTTCACAGAAAAAAGAGAAACACATGTCTGTAATTTTGTTCATGTTGTATTGAGTAATTATATTGTATCATATCAGTTTAAAGGTGTTTGGAGACACAGATTTTAAATTAAATTTTTCTCATATTTTCTATATAATATGACTTTATGTTGCTATAGCATTTCACATGGATATTATATAACAAATAACTTATTTAATCAGGAAATTATTGAAACAATAAATTTCAGGATGCATTTGATTGATACATCCTTTCGCCTTTCATAGCAAGCATAATTCATAAAACTTAAAAAAATAGCTATAAAAAATATTAACTTCAAATCTGTAACCAAGCACCTTTAAAATTCACGCAAAGAGGTTGCTTAACCCTCTAGGCATTGTCTTATGTTTAAATAGTAAAAAAGTGTTTAAAATAAATAGACGTGAAATACATATAATTTCTCTAGGATGCATTAAGATTGAAAAGTTTCATAGCAATAAATAAAATATATTAAATCTGTCTAGTTATACAATGTACAGTGTACATGTATATTAAAAACATCAATAAATTTCTTAGTCTTAATTTTTTTATGACAATTATCAACTTGAAATTAAAAATACTGTTAAGCAATGAAAAAAAAACCTACGTAATTACCCGTCTTGAAAAATGTGGGTCGGAGTACATCAAACAAAAATATTTTTAATGGCCTCATATAGGCCGTCAAAAATGTTGATACATGTAGAATAAAACATGCAACTGTTAACGGTATTACATGTATATCTTCATTGAAATGCATGCAATCATATTTGCATAAGTATATAAGGTGAATAAAAAAGTTTTTGAGATTAATTAATTTTATGCATTAATTACCACTGACCTTACATGTTACTTAGTCTGCCTCATTTATTTTATAGGACAGAACTCTTTAACATTTAGTTATATTTAAGAACGGATGATATATATTTCTCGTGTCATCTTGAATTTATGAAATGGATGATATATATTTCTCGTGTCATCTTGAATTTATGAAATATATTTACGCAGCAAAAATTGCAGTTTGTTTTGGGGTTCTAAATTCTGCTCCTTTTACAGTGAATCACTTTCCTTGTCGAAACACAATGAATTTTATGAATAAGCTAGTTTGAAATTTATATTTTTCATACTTATGTAGAGTAAGATACCCACGTTTTTAGCTTAAAATGGTCAAAGACCAGAGGAGCTTATGCGATAGTAACGTGTCTGTGCGTCCGTCCGTCTAGCTGCTCAACTGTTCGTAATGAATTGTTCAAATTATTTTTTGGGTCTGAATTCTATATAACTTGACAAACAAGCAGTCTTCACTAAGATACATAATTCTATTTATCGAATTTTGATTTTGATGAACGGGTTTGTTATGGTTACTAAATTAGAATTTTGTAAAATTCTTTGAAAACGCCCCCCCCCACCCCTTTTCAGTTTTAATCTGATTGCAATTAAATCTATAATGTCATAGCGGTAGAGCTGTGGCGATATGGCTTTATATTTCCATTTCTAATTTTTCTCTCTGTGATAACTCTTTGAAAGTTAGCGGAGTTAATTTCTTGATAATTCTACCGGAATATAAATTAGGCAGGTCAATTTTGTAAAATTCAGGCAAATCTCGTGCGCATCTGTCTCGGAGTATGACGCTTTGCAGAAAATCTTTAATATGACGTCAGTGGGCGAGGACTATTGAAATTGGGATGGGAATTCTCGTGTAATTTAAATCTATGTCTACATTTTTAAAGTCTAAATCTACATGCAATTTTATTTCACAATGAAATGGAAATATAAGGAATCACTGTGATTTCTTAAATATTTAAGTCTATGACCATTACGCTTACGCTACTCATCCTGAAATGCAAATATTATGCTATGTACGGCGCATACGGCGCAATATTTAATGTTTAAAACAATATTTTCTGCGCTGGGTTAGGGATGTATTTCTCCACTTTCCAACATTGGACAATCAACTTCTTGTACTTTACATTCCCTAATTCGAAACATGTATAGTCTATTACTATTTATGAGAACATTAAATGTCAAAATTAATCACTTTAAAGGCATTATAATTCATTTGACTCGACTTTCGTCGACCTTAATCATTCTTGATTGAATGTTTAAAAGACTGTGTTTAGTTGAGAATAAATAAGATATTTACAAACAATCCATTTGTTTATTTCAATACCAGACAAACAATGACACATATAGTATTATTTTCTTGCACTTGCAAAGCCGAACTGGGTCATTTATCATATATACATCTACATAGATAGGTAATTTATTTCATTCAGAATGAATGAGGAATGAAATTAGCCGTGACTAATGGACAGTTTATGCTAATTTACGGCTCTTTTATGTGTTATTTACAATCTGCAATGATAAGAATTGACACTTTGGCAAATCATTCCACTTTTTATATTGTGAAAATAGATCTTGTTTGCGCTTATTTGTGCAAAAGGAGCAGATCTACTTTTATATTATAAAAGGAATATGCGTAATACAATCTGCGTATTATTTATCATATTGAAACAATTTTTACATCAGTGGAGCCTGATTTATCATCAATTTGTCCGGAAACAATTTTACCATGCAGTTAAACATAAAAGGTTACGTTTAAAAATTCCGTTTCGATAAAAAGTCGTCCGGATACTGATTATTAGCCATGCAAATTATTGCATACAATTTCAGCCATATTTTTTCATTTAGCTTTATTTTAATTTGATGAAATGAAAATTTATAATTTAAAAAGGTGTACATTCCAAGCGTAACTTGAATATTGATCTCTCTGTTTTATTTCATTTCCAATATTAATTATGAAAGCATTAAATAATTGATACTTTACTTAATAATATAGCGATTAAATATTCTAAAGAAATTCTATCTGTTCAAAATCCCCAATATCTTTTTGCTATCTATATAAATATTGCTATAACATGAATGTATGGCTCAAAGTCGTATATACTTTATAAATTTTCAGGCCTGTGTGAAACAATAGCAGTGCTGATTTTGGAGAGGGGGCGAGGGTGACTGTGATCTTGAAATAAATGGGGTTAAAACATTTTGCTTTGATCAATTACATGGGATTTTATAATTGAAATAAAATCTAGATATAAAAATAAAGAAATATATACGTCAGTGTTCAAATCGAATCTACATGTACATAGAAAATGAGTTACTTTGTTTTTTTTTTTTTATTTGTAATAACACATAAAAGTTTCAAACATTACTTTTCATTATCAAAGGTTGAGATATTGTAAATTGTAGATATATTTGTTAACGTAATTAATTTAGTTCCAGACGTAAACATTAAGTATGACCCCTAACCATCACTGAGTACTAGACCATGATTCAAGGCTGCAAAAACCTTTTAGTTAAACATAAAAACATTTTTCGGAGAAAAAGAACATAAACATTAAAACTTTCCTTTGAAAGGTCAGTTAATTTCACTTGTTGTCCTCCTCGGTTTTTTTCTAGATCTAAATCAAATGACTATAACCCTAAGCGTAGGCATATCAATATCATGAAAAAATCTACACTTTTACATGTACATGTATTTCTTGTGTAAACACTTGAATATTTCATTTCTAGCTTATTTAAAATAATATATAAAATGACTGCTTGTCAGTCAGAGTGAAAAATTCATGCTTAAGAATTATTTTCCAGCCTTTTTTCCCTGCACATTTCATCACTTAGGATAGTACAAACTTTTTGTTGAAGATAGATTTATGTCTACAATCAATTATCATGCATTACAATATACCAATCCATTTTAAAATGCATTTTAAAAACTATATACATAAAGTACGTATAATGTACAAAAAACCAAAATAAACTAACGTGATAGATCATACTTGAAGATATACATTATAAATGCTATAAGTCTACAATGAAATCAAAGAAATTTAGATTATGGATTTTTTTTGGGGATGTTTCCTCTCAAGGAAGAGAAAACATAGAACAACATGCAATTTGAAGAATGAGAGGACAACATCATGGTACGTAATGGTTTATAATAGTCATGAAAACTTTTGGATGTGGCAATTTTTATTGTATCAAGCACTAGTAACAGAGAAGGATACCATTATATATTAAACAATACATAACAATATTAATCAACATTTGTATTCAACACAAAGGGAAAAACTGTATGTTATTTGGGAATTTTTACAAAACATTGTCCAAATACATTCAAACTCTTTGCTTCTTTTCGTTCATTCTTCTCACACAAATTTTCGCTTACAGAATAAACCAGATCAAAATCTGGCGACTGATTACTAGAATTTAGACCCCCTGTCACATAAATCTTTTTCTCCCTGGAATACACTCCAAACATGGACCGGTTGTTTGGTAGTTCTGTCTGAACAACACTCTCGTTCTTTTCCACGCGATACTTGATGCAGTGACCTCGCTCCGTTAGAATATAAATAGAATGCCCAACAACGACCGTTCTTCCTCCAGAACATTCTATAGGCAGGTATCCTACAATCTCAACTGATTTGCTCACCGAGTCAAAGACTTGAATAACTGATACATTTTCCCCATGCTCATCCTTGCCCCCAAATAGATAGATTTTTTCATTATAGACAATAGACAGTGGAGAACTAACTCCCCATTTCAGGTTTCCTACCAAACACCATGAATTTTTCTTACGATCAAATTCTTCGATTTGAGGAACAATGGAGTCTTTAGTTTTGCCACCCAAAACATAGACTTTGTCTTGCACACTTCTCATCGTATGATTTGTTCGAGGATATTTCATGTTTGCACAAACTCTCCATTTATTCATGATGACATCACATTCTAAGAATTTGAGAGATTTTTGTCCTTCACCTGAAATAAAAATATATGGCGGTTCGGTAGCAGCCGTCTGGATGCAACAGGCCGCATATCCTTTGGTAAAATCCGTAACATCCTTCAATTTCACACCATATCCCTTTTCACTAGTAATATTGAGCACTTTTGCATCCTTGCAGATCTGGTCGTCTGCTTTTGTTATTGAAAACATCACCAGGTATGTTTTACTGTCGCAACTTTCAGAAGACTCACCTTCAAACACTTTTCCTGCAATTTTTTCACGTAGAGATCTATAAACTTCTCCTCGGTTGCTGGAATCACATTGCCACCATTGATACAAACCATCCCTGAGAATTAGTTTTTCCTTACAGCAACGACTTCTCATTAAAGCCTTCATTTGTGAGTTTCTAAGTGACAAAAATTCACTCATATCTTTGACGTGATCAATATTATCAACAATCTCATCCGCACATTTCTCAATAACTTCTGGTATCTCGAAACTATCTGCTAAGTCAAAAATTTCAAACACCTTTTCCTTGTCTAAGTTTTGCAAAAGCTTACTAGCACAAGCACGTTTTAAATTAGACAGACCCTTTATCGAATTGCAGATTGTAAGAAATTCTTCTATATGTTCGTAACGAATCAACTCCTCATTGATATTTCCTGTACAGAAG